AAAAAATCCGCACATAATAATTTGTTATATTGATGTAACATATGTTTGATGATCAACCGCCATCGAACACCACAATGGGGCATGGACAATAGAAACAGCCCAAACGTCAAAATCACCGATTAAGATAATTGAAAAAAAGCATTTCAAGTAATTTACCTATTGTTTTTAAGAACTTTAACAGAAAATATCTCTAAATTTTATTAATCTGTAATAATTGCATGTAGAAATGCTATTAACTCAAAATCATGATTTTTGGTATTTGGGTCGTTTCTATTGTCCATGCCCCATATTCGTTCGAAATAAAAACGCCTGCAAATTTGATGACAGTTTAATGGTCATGAGATTTGTTTCTAATGCGGAAAAATTCTAATTTAGGAATTGACATTTGTTTTTTTCCTCACATGATCATTCACACATCAAACATCAAGTATTATTATAAAGATTTATATTTTTTTAATAAGAACAGAAAATTCATTGTCCATTAATATAATTTTTTGCTTATCAACTGTAATAATTAATCTCTACATCAAATCCATCAGGATAACGATAAGTTTCTTGTATTCTTATGATTGCAATGAAATATTAGTGTCAGTATTGTAAATTAACCAAAATGCACGATAATCTAGATGATTTAACTTTGCCAGCAACAATTTCAGGATAAGCTCGTGAAAATACTATGGCAGCGTCATTTATTATTTCACCAGTTATCGAACTTATTAGTCCTTCAACGTATAACATACGTGTTAATGCATAATCTCCGACCAATTCTAAAATAATGTGTAAAGAGTTAAAAGAAAGAAGCCTTGACAACTTTTAAAAAAAAAATTTATACGGGTCTCCCCTGTAAAAAAAATACACCATTATTTTAATTTCAATTCCAGAAATACTCCATAAATTTGTAATTACACGTTTCTTTGCTAAATATACATTTGTTGGAGTTTTAAAGCACGGATCATCAATATACGAAGTAATACCCACCCGATTTTCCTCGAACGTTTATATCTAAATTTAAATAAACTTGTGTATGAGTGTAATGAAAAATATTTACGAGCTTTTGGTTTTAATTTATTCATACCTGTTCGTACTCTGCAACACTTTCCAGATCCGAAACAATCGCAGTAAGAAACATGACGCCTAATGTCCGCCTGTGAGACATAAATAAACCGGTTTTCTCGTCATTACCTAACAAACGAAAAAACAAAAGTTTTTAATTTGCCTCTAGTATTGCTAATAACTTATAAAATGTACCAACCTCATATTTCGACAACTTTTCAAGTTGAGCATGAATATTCTTTGGCTTTTGTAATGCGCTCCTTGAACTTTTCTTTCTTATCCTAGAGAAATATCCATGGATTGAAATCTTCCGTTACCATATGCAAAACTGATATATTTAGCTACATACAAATTAATGTCATTGGCGAGTTTTATAGTAGAATGATCCAGAATAAAAATTGATTTTAATACTCGGTTAAAAACACTTCTTTTGATATTTCTTTTGACGAGACGAATTACCTCAAATTGAATAATTTGAATAGTTTTTTCTGTGTTTTTAACAATTTCACCTCTTGAAATATCACTCTCAATAGCTACATTATTTCAATTTATCGAATTTATTTTCGATTCCCTTTTCAAATTAGATCTTGGAGTCCATGAAAATATCTAATCCTTGAAAAAAAAAGTCTGCTTGCTTTCATTGTGATATATAATTCGGGGGAAATGTTTGAAAAAAAGAGATATATGGTTGGGGCGGCCTATTGTTGCGCCACGCGGCCAGATTTCAAAAAATTGCAATTTTGTAATTCATTCAATAGTGGTGGGTTATATCCGTTGATTATCGGGGTGTTTGAGAACTTGGTCAATCAACATTCGGATAATGATTGATTTGACTTGGTTCGAATCTAATTCAAATATATATGTACATATGAAAGAATTTGAATACTGTATAAAGAGTTGCCTTTGGAAATAAATGGTTTCTAAAGTCAAAAAAAAAATTTTTTTTCCTAGTGCAATAATCGCATTTGGCTTATCCACACCATTTTTTGTGCTTTGAACACATTGCACTGTGCTTGTTGAAGTAGTAATTGAAGAGGTATCATTTTCAACGATGCAATTATCGTCATTCATCATATTTATTATTTAAATTTAAAAATTGAATTTTGCAACTGTAAATTACATTACTTTTTATTTGTTATCGTTATTAATATTAATGCGCAGAGTCTATATTCGCAATACAAATTCTTATTCGAATAGAAACCCTGTTAATATGACATTAAAGAAATTTAGGAATCCGGTTTGATCCGAATCAAATCACAATCACTTTAAAATTTGACTCGTTCGATTCGTTCAGTGCCTCACCTCTGAATATCTTACTTTATCCAATTCTAAAGTCTGTGGAGATGTTTATCTATCTATCTGTTTACAAGTATTGATAAAAATTTTATTTATTATTATTATCCTGTACCACCGATTATTCATGTGAAATTTTTCAGCACCCGATTAACCGGATAATCGGTGAATAATCGGTGAGGCGGGTATAACCACTATGTTCAAAAATGCAAAAAAAAAATTTCTAAAGGTATTTCCAAAAATGGAGTTCACGTGATTTTGGTGCAATAAAAAAATATTAATAATATTAAATATAATGATATTAAATATCTCTTTACATTATTATCATTCTATAACCAATTTATGCTTGTTTATTCTCTAAATCGTAAAATTGTCATGTAAGTATTTAAAAAACGTACTTGACTCTGTATATATTAAAATTTGTTGGATAGTTCTGATAACAGTCAGTATAAATAACCGGACATTTATTGACACATAATAACAAAAAAGTCATTAAAATTGTCTCGCTAACTTGACTATCACGATCCGATTAATTTGACTATCCTTTTGTGAATGTAACCACATGATATCATGTGCTTTATCCAGGAAAAATTTTTATATTCGTGCGAAATTTTTTAAATTTTATTGCCGTTCACAAAAGGATCGTCGATTAATAGTTTTTTACAGAATGATTATTTTTCGAGAAAACCTTTCTAAAGAGTGACTCCTATGCTTTTAAAATTTAGACTGAGCCAGTGTTGTCAAAAATTGTCAGTAAAAAAAGTACATTGGTCCAATTGGTTGGATTTATTGGACTAGACTAGACTTTATTTGGACTTTGTCACAAAAAAATTAAAAATTTCTCACGAGTCAGACTAACTAAAAAAACTTGTCGTAATTGTTTGTTTGAATTGTAAAAAACTACAATTGAAAGAATCAAAATCCAGTTATTAGTAGAAAGAAAGGAAACCTTTGAAAATGATCCTCCTCTTATCAAAAAATTATAGAATTGGACTGGAACTGCCAACTATATAATAAAATGACAGAGCCAAGGTTTTATGAATATAAATGAATTTACTCCTTATTATAAATGACACTCGCTATTTTATCTTTGTTATACTATACTGGTGGGGTGATATCATTTGTCTAGAAATTTCCGTTACATTATTTATATTATAATGACATATCACAGTATAATGTACGAGCGAATCTTTAGTTGGTTAAATTCGTACGGAAATAATGGAATTAACCAGTATGCTTGCTTCAATGATTTTATCCAAATTTGGTAATTTTTTTCGCATGACGGACGGGCATTGATTTTTCCACATAATTTTTATATTTTTCTTTTATTTTTAATTTATATTTACAAAAAAGACAAACAATAATAATAATAAAACATAATATGAACATAAATCACATACATAATTAACACATAATTAATTAATTAATTAATTAATTTAAATAATATAAAGAAAACTTAATTTTTTTTTTTAAAAAAAAAAACCTTAAAATAAAAAAAACCAAATCTATAGTAATATATATATTGATGATGATGATGATGATGATGATGATGATGATTATTGACAATGATAGATTTTTTATTATCAAATAAAAAACATTTATAAAACCCTTAAAATATATATAATTTATATGTAGAAAAATTACAATACAATTGAAAAAATGTGCAACATTTTTTCTAATAAAATATTTACAAAGGAATGAAAATATATACTATAATTATTATTATTATTATTATTAGTTTTCTATGTAATATTTATGGTACTAGTATTAATCTAATTTAAAATCTAACTACGGATTAATCGAATTATAATTTTATTTCTAAATAAGGAAAAAGTTAAATTAAAATTAAATTTTCTAAATTAAATTAGTAAAATTAAATTATTAATAGTATCCTCTTGAATTATAAATTCCGTTTGGATTTATAAGATTAGGATTTATTCCAAAGTTATTATTATTATTATGACCACCACTGTTACTACCATAATAAGCATGATTATTGTTAAATGTTGATGGTGTTGTCATCATCATTGTATTGTTAGAAGAAGGAGATTCAACAAATAAAGGGTATCCATAATTATTATTATTATTATTATGGTTGTTATTATTAATATAATGATTGCTATTGCTGTGATGATTATGATGGTATGGATAATTATTATGACTATTATTGTTATTGTAGTGATTATTATTATAATTATTATAATGATGATTATTATTATATTGATGATTATTGTTGTTGATGTTGCTGTAATGATTATAATTATTATTGTTGGTAAAGCCATATTGTGTGGGTGATGAATTTCCAATCGTTGAATATCCAAGAGTTGGTGATGATAATAAAGGAGATGACGACGACGACGAAGTGGTAGTGTTGGTGTTTATAGCAGTAGAAGAAGTGTTGTTGGCAGAATAGAATCCTATTGGTGGTGAATCATAACCTGTTGGTGATGAATAACCACTTTGAGCTAAACCATATCCATAATCAAAAGAACTAGACATTGGAGGAGCTGAACCAAAATATTCAAAATCGGATGATGTTGAAGAAGAATTTGTAAGTCTTCTTGCTCTTCTGGTCATTGGTGTTGGAATACCGATTTCTTTCATAATTCTTTCTTCTCTTTCTTTCGCTTCGATCATCATCATTTCAACTTCACTAATATCCACTGTGCTTGTCAGTGCAGCTTTACCTTCTGCAATCATATCTGCTAATTTATAATTGAATTTATGGAAAACATCTTCTTCAGTGGCTTGTTTTTGATTTTTTGTCGATGTGGATGTTGATGATGATGATGATGATGAGCTCAAGTCAACCGAAGAAGATTTTCTACGGAGTGGTCTACGGTTACGACGAACACGTATTGGTTTACGACGAGGACAATTATTATTCTTATTGTTGCTGTTTGAGTTACCATCGTCGTCATCGTCGTCACCATCAACATCGTCACCGGTAGTTTCAAATTTAACTTTATTATTTGGTTCTCGTACAGTTGGTGAAGAAGATAATGCTGGTACAGTTAATGAATTTTTACCAGAGTTGGGAGTCACAGATGGTGGTGGCATAGTCCACGAACTATCGTATGGTGGCGGAGGTTCAAAATCGTTATTATTATCGTTGTCGTTGTTATTTAATTTCCGAATGGAATGATCTTTTTTAATGTCATCATCTGAACTGTAATAATAATCATCGTCATTATCCTCCGCATAATCGTCGTCGTCATCTTTAATTTTCATCACATCGTCGTAATAATATTGATTTTTTCTAGAATAATATTTTTTGTGGACCTCGCTTTCGTCGCCGTTGTTGCCATCGTCGTCGTTGTTGTTGTTATTGTTGGTTCCTACACCAGTTAAAGTTTGATAAGTTTCAGAGGCTAAAGTTGAAGTGTAGGCTGCTAATTCTGTTATTTTATATAAAAAATTTGTAGCAACTCCTGGTCTTTGTGATGCTTCATTACTGTTGGTATTGTTTTTGTTATTGTTATTGATATCCATTGCTAACATGTTATTATTACTGCTTTTTATTCCAACCAAAATTTGTTGCTGAAATAAAGATAAAATTATATTTTTGTTGTTTGCAAGTTCGTTCCGTGCGTTGTTTTTGTTTTTTTCCAAATTTACTGCGTGTATTTATCAGTTAAATTAATTAGTGAATTTTGGTTTAAGAAATTAGAAATTTATTTTTTTAGTGAGAAAAATATTTTTAGTTTTTAGCGAAAAGATAATAAAATGTATATTTTTATACAAGAGAAAAAAAAAGTTATTTTTTTGGGAGAATATATAAATAATTTAAATAGTGCGGTGTGGAAAAAGAGAAAAAGATACAACAACATACGTTGTGGATTTTTAAATAGTATTTTTAAATTAAATTAAAATAAATGTAATATAAATAAAACTTAATGTAACCATAAACAATTAGATTTATTATATTTGTACACTATATATAAAAAAGAGGTTCATGTAAGATCTATATTATATGTGACAGTTACATATTAATTATTGTGTTGCGTGATGAATACCGTGTGTGTGTGTATGTGTTCTTGATCATTGACCATTCATCCGTTCATTCATATTTAAAAATTGATCAATGTTAATATTAATGTTTAAATTTGTAAAACTCACTCACACTCGTGTTTTTTTTTGTGAATTACAAAATTATAATAGTTCTTTACAAATCACACTTTAATCATATTTTTTGAATATCAATATCAACCAACTACTAACATTCATGAAATGTAATATGCATGACATAGTGCGCTGTTGTAGACGATCATGTTATTTATTATTTTTTAATTATTATAGACAAACTAGCAGTTTATGGTTACAATCTTTCTTCTTTGCACAAAAAATTTCCTAAACGAGAACCATTTTACGCCGTTGACGATATGTAACAAACGGTAAGTCAAACAATTGTCCTTATCTTACCGCATTGTTGAAAAAATTTAATAAAAATTATTTTTAAATATACTGCTTGTATTATATATATATCACATGTATATACATCATTTTCATTTATCGTTATCGTCATCAACATCTAAATCGTTATACTGAATTATTTGGGAATTTTTAAAAAATCGGAGAACAATATCGGTTTTCTCCTCTATTTTTTACCTTTTCGGTATATAATATAAACATTCACAATAATAATACCAAAACGGTTAAGCAATCTTCTCACCGATAAGACATTTAAAAGGTTTCACTGCATGCATATTTGTTTGTGTTCTCCTATTTGTCAATATGTAACAATAGTACAATAAACAAATATATATCTTTTTTTTTTAATATGAAATTGAATGTTATTTTTTACATTGTTTTCTTGAAAAAAAAAAAAAAAATAAATCATTTCATAATATATGATCGATCATTTATTTATTATTTAATTAGAGAAATATATAAAAAAATTACAAGAATAACAAGAATCAAGATTCTAAATAGAATTTAAAATTTATATTGCAAATTTATTTGTTATTTTTTTCTGTATCGCTACCATCATCATCACAACGATCTTTTCCATAATCAATATTACAGTGTTTGTAACCACTTTTTCTTTTAATGCGTTTCACTGCTCTGATTCCAGAACCAATAGACATAAAGTTGACAAATCCGCATGATTTTTCTCTGTCAAGAATGATTGATTCTATTTTGCCATACTTTTTAAAGTCTTTATATAGTTTTTCTTCGGTCATTTCTTCACCAAGTTTTTCAATATAAACATTACGAGAAGCAGGCCTGTTATTCATTTCATCCTCTTCAGTCAATGGTCCTGGATTGTCATCCTCAGCAGACTTAAGTTTTCTATTTTTGGCGTCACTACAATCACCACAACGATCTTTTCCATAATTAATATAACAGTCTTTGTAATCGTCGTTTCCTTTAATAAGCTTCATTGCTCTGATTGCAGAACTAATAGACATAAAGTTGACAAATCCACATGATTTTTCTTTGACAAGATTAGTTGATTCTATTTCGCCGTACTTTTTAAAGTCATTATATAGTTTTTCTTCGGTCACTCCTTCACCAAGTTTTCCAATATAAATATTACGAGAAGCATGCCTGTTCTTCACTTCATACTCTATATCTTTAGGCAATGGTCCTGGATTGTCCCCCCAAGCAGCTTTAAGTTTTCTATTTTTGATTACCAAGCCTAGATTTTGCGCCATAAACAAAAAACTCGTTGCACTGTTTGGATCAAGGAATCTGACAAATGCAACTTGTTTTTTCGGGATGTATTGAATACATTCAAGATTACCGGCACGAATATAATTACAAATTTCTTCAGATCTAGTTGAGGGGTGAATATTTCCAAGATAAACACTTCGGTTTCCAACATTGCTAGTGACATTTGCCATAGTTTCTTCAGATAAGGCGTGTTGATTTTCATTGGGATGATATCTTTTGTTAAATAAAGTGCTTGCATTAAGACTATGATTATGAGTTGATGACATACCATTAAGATTATGATCATGAATTGACACATTATTAAGATAAGGATTACGAGTTGTTGTCACATCATTAAGATAAGGATTACGAGTTGTTGACATAACATCAAGATAAGGATTATGAGATGCCTTATTTCCAAAGCTTTGAAGGAGAGTGTTTTCCATATATATTTCACACCGGTCTTTGGCATAATCAACTTTAACCCTTTTGTATGCGTATTTTGATGGTAATGATTCGACTGCTCTAATGGCACTTGAAATATTCCAGAAATGAACTAATCCAATCTTTTTTTCTCTGATAATTTGAATAGTATCAATATAACCATATTCAGCCAAATCCCTATGTAAAATCCTTTCAGTGATCGAATCATCCAAATTTTCTAGGAGAACGTTACGTGAAGCATTGTTTTCTTCAACAGCTAATTGAACATCTAAAGGTACAGCTGATAATCTACCCCAACCAACGTAAAGTTCTTGACCTTCATAAAAAATTTGGTTGTTCGTAGCTTCATCATAAAATGCTTTTGCAAGAGTAGCATTCATAAAAGAAATGAAGGCACAAATTCTGTCAGGATGTAGTTTTACAGACTCTAATGGACCAACTTTGATTTGATTTATAAGTTTATAAACTTCTACATTTGGTGGTAAATTTCCAAGATATACAGTTCGTCTAATAATATTTGTAGAATATTTTTGATAAATTTTTGAAGGTCGATTTGTGGATTGCTTTAATCTCAACGGAGCGGCTTTATGATAATAATCAGCTATTAGTGCTTGATAAAAATATTTTGTAAAATCAATATAAATTTTTAATCTTCATTACCTCTTGTTAAAAAAACGTTGTCACTACTATTATTTGGATTATGCCTTGCTTTTTTAGCATCTTCATGACTTTGATTACTGTTATCGTTACTACGTTTCATGATAAAATATTGACTGTAACTTTGAAGCTTTGAATATCAAATCTTTGGGAAATAAACGTAAAAATAATGTATATAATCTATATGTATATAAATATAAATAAATGAATGAATATATACATACATACATACATATATATATATATAAAATAAATTATTGTTAATAAAATCAATTAAATGAGTTAATTATTCTAATGGAATTCACTTTTAATGTAGACAAATATATAACGCGTTTGATCTAATGTTTAAATATAATAAATAGTGATTGTGTGCAGATTGGAAAAATGTGAGGACGGTTAAACTCATAATTCTTGCAACGATCTTCTTTCAACACTATAATATAACCAGAATTCTTGCTTTTTTAAAAAATAAAATAAAAAATACCTTGAGAGAAAAATAAAAAAGTTTCAAGATTTGGTTACACGAATAGAAAACTAAAAAAACCTTTAAATCTACGCGTGAAATTCAAATTAGTCAATTAATATTATAGAATTTTGTATCCCGGCTGTATTACATTAATTGTATTAATTTGTGACACTGAATATTAACCCAAAATTTTAATTATAAATTTCGATTTCACATAGTTTCAATTTCACATACAATAGTAATATAACTTTCCAATGCATTTATGGTATTTAACATTGATTTTAATTTACCTTTTTACACGATGCCTGCTTTTGCTTTGTGTCTGTCATTTTGAAATATGAATATTGGTGCTTAAGACACAATAGGTACTGACTGTTTTGTCACCTTTCTTTTTTGGCAATTAATTAACTCTTGCTAAGATGAGGTTATACACACTTGTTGTTCTTGGAGATAGTGGTGTTGGCAAGGTAATAAAGCTTGGGGGGGGTTTTAAAAAAAGTATTGTTTTAATAAATTCGTTTATTTTTTCTTTAATTAGACTGCACTCACAGCTCAGGTATTATTAACCTACGGTATATGTAATCAGTGAATTTTTAAATGATCGCATATCTACATATCGCGTAACGGGTGTGATAAATATCATTACTATTTTCCATTGACTAATGCTAAACATTTCTTAAACTTGGCTGGTTTAGTTGTGTTCGAATCAGTTTGTTGATATGTATTTTTCAAATTGTATAAATTTTTCCTTTTTATCATGAATTCTATCTATTATGCATTAAACTAAAAATAATTATTATCTTGAATATAGAGGTAAAATATTTTATTTAAAACATTATTTTTTGAACATCTTCTATTCCTATCCAATATATTTTCGTTTTTATTTTTTTAGATCCATGACCAAAGAATTGAAGGTTCATATAGAAAACAAGTAGTAATTGATGATCAACCCTGTGTACTACATGTTCTGGATACTTCAGGACAAGGTAATATTTTGTTGCCTGTTTATAATAAAATTGAGTACAATAAAACATTTATTATGTCTTTTTTTAAATAAAGAGGAGTATACAGCACTTTGGGATCAATGGATCAGGTAGAAAGAAATTTAAAATTCCTAATGATAATTGTTAGAATCATTAAACCCTGACTTAAAATTATACATATAATGCTAATAAATATATAGAGATGGAGAAGGTTTTCTTCTAATATATTCTATATCATCACATTCAACATTTGAACAAATAGAAAGGTATAGAGATCAAATAATAAAAGTAAAAGGCTCTAATAAAATCCCATTTATACTTGTGGGAAATAAATGTGACAAGCATACAGAACGGGAAGTGTCAAGGGAAGAAGGAATTAATATGGCAAAGAGACTTGGCTGTGAATTTTTTGAAAGTTCAGCAAAAACATTTGTAAATGTAGAAAGATCATTTTACAAAGTTGTACAAATGTTAAGGCAAAAAATAAATCTAGAATCTATTTCAGAAGAGGAAAAAAGGTTTAAGAATCAACTTGAAAAAGAATGCATTCTATTTCATGATTACAATTCTTTTCAAAATATTGAATTTATTGATGATGGATCATTTGGGACAATTTCTTGTGCATCCTCAAAAAATTCCCAGGGGCTTGTGGCATTAAAATCAATTAATATTGACCAAGAATACACTTTTGAACAACTTATTAATGAGGTAAATATTTTTTTTTATCTAATAAATTTATTATATATTAACAAAAACATTTACAAATGATTTTTTTAAAGGCAAAACAACATCATAAAGTGGAACTTCACAGTAATATATTAGGATTTTATGGTATAACAAAAGAAAGTATGTTGACTTGTCATTATTAATTATTATCATTGGATTGCAATATATTTATTATACTTTGTTAATTTAAATTTTTTACATATCATTAAAGAGGAACATAAAACAAATTACATGTTTGTATTAGAATATGCAAATAATGGTAATCTATGTGATTATTTAAAATACAATTTCAATATAATGGATTGGAATATTAAATTAAAATTTGCAAAACAAATTGTAAGTGCTGTAAGACATTTGCATGAAAATAAAATAGTACATAGAGATCTGGTATGTATAACATTACTTATTTATATTTAATTATTCTTACATTTTTAATAATAATAATCAACAATTATATTTTAAATAGCATTCTAAAAATATTCTCATTCATGATGGAAATATTAAAATTTGTGACTTTGGAATTTCCAAATCCTTATTGGATCCTTCAATAGAGGCTTCTAAAAGATTAGGTACAATAAGATACTCAGATCCAGAATATTTAAACAATGCTGAAAATTATAGCCGCAATGAAAAATCAGATATTTATAGCATTGGAGTACTTTTATGGGAAATTTCAAGTGGTCGTGCCCCATTTGCAAATAAGTCAATCAAGTTCAAAGATATAATACTTGGCATAATATCAGGTGAACGTGAAGCAATAATTAAGGGAACTCCAAGAAAATATGCAGAAATATATACAGGTAATAATGATAAATAGTTACTTGTGGTTACATAACCACTGGATAATCCTGAAAAATGTTTTTTAAATAGCAACACCATTAATAATTTATATCCAATATTAAAATTAATTAAAATTTATTTTTATAAAGCATGTTGGCAGGGGAAGCCAGATCTCCGTCCAAATATTCATCAAGTCATGCAGGATTTGGACAATGTAGATATAACTGACATTATTGAAGATATTGTTAATTTAACAGATCAAACTAATAATAAATTACAAAATGATGATTTATTAAATTCAATAGAACTTTCATTTTCATCACAAATTAATAATTTAGAAAAACATTTAAGTGATAAGAAAAAAAGTAGAAATTGTATAAAAAAGTGTATAATAATTTAAAGTTTTCGAGATGAAAACATGTGTATTATTTTTAATTTTTTTTTTTTTTACGAGGGTAATATCCTACTCATATAATTTTTATTAGACTAATTATTATTATCATTATTATCGTTTATTATTATTCAATATATAATAATAATGATGCTATTATTATTAATTTAAATGTTATTGTAAAAATTTCAAATGCTTGAAAATTTAAGATCCAAACAAATGGAACTGACCAATAATGCAATGGAGAGTTGCATAAACATCAATCAGTTTTTGAGTAAACGATCAGTATTTACAGGTTTGGAAATGCTCAATTTCTTTTTTTTCTATCACTTCAAAAACAACGCCTTCATTCCAATTCCATTAACAAAATCATCTCTCGGAGGAATATATTTTTCATATTCCATATTTATATTATTTGTATTAATGTTTTCTATTTTTTTAATTGAAACCTTTATTTTAGGATACACATGTGACTGGATAATTTTCTAGGAACAACCATTTTATTAACATCATTGCCCATTTTGAATATCATGACAATAGATCTATAAATCCATTATGTGACCTTTTTTTATTAATATTAACATTGATAAAATCTCTCTGTTCTATTATATCCAAAGACTTTTAGAGTTGGTTTGGTTATTGAGTCTTAGCATTTTAAAGATTTGCTGTTTTTCAATACACAAGAGACATATTTAAGCCAAAATTATTCATCATAATGGATTTTATGTTAATGGATTTTATATATGAAAAATACTCTAATTTGCCAGTTTTTTTCGGCATGATTCTTTCTTATTTTTCCGAAAAAATTTTTACAAAAGGAAAAATTTTTGATGAAACTTTTTAAATTTCTATTTCTAATTATATAGGTTTATCAAATAATATATGCCTTTATTAGTATAAGAACGGATTTTTGATACTTTTACAGCAACACCTTCTCTTTAAAGCCATTAATTTTCTTAAAACATTTAATTAAATTTAATCAATTTAATAAATATAATGATTTTAAAAATATGCTATTAAACAATAAAAACATTTACTTTTTTTTTTCAAATGAATCAATTATTAATAATGAAATAATATGTAAATCACCACCAGGTAATTGTAAAAATCTTGTTTTTATTTTATTTTGCCATCATAAGTAACATAAATATCTAAATGTTTTGTCACTTGTATCAGTTGATTTATTAAACACTATACCAAATGCTGGGACCTATTCCAAAATCGTTCTTCAAGAATTTTTGAAATAGCTGTTAGCATCTCATGACCTGTAACTTCAAATACGTAACCAATCCTTCAGTAATATCAATTGCACATAATTTACTAGTTGTATATGAGATGGAAGTTTCCTTAAAGGAATGTATACTTGCTGCCCAAATTACAGACCAACCCCAAATCTCAAATAGATAAAATTTCTACCAAAATGTGATAATAATAATAAATTTTTTTGATATATATTTGTCCGATTTTCTCGCCAGTTGTAATCCTTATAATATAATAGATATATGGAGGGATTTCTAGCAAAACCTGTATAATGAAAAACTTATTATATGGAACGATTTTATTAAAATTCCCAATTGCTAAAGCTTTTAGAAAATCGTTCTATTTGTGAAAATATCAGAGGCTTTGGTTTTTAGCCGAGGGACATTTGAATAACAGTCTTATGGAGAGAGTATGTTTATTTCATATGATCTTTCAGAAGCTGCGATAGATAGATAGAAGTATTACAATAGAGAAAAAATTTGTTGTATTTCAAATGAGTTTTTTACAACATTAGTTTTTACAGCCATTAAAGCTTTCTATAGTTCTAAACTATAATGCATATGCTATCTTTTATGCAAATTTGATAACCATATCTTTGGAAATGGAAGAGGGGCAGTGGTTTGAAAACAGTATATTTTATTAGCGTTTTTACTAGTATTACGAACTTTTAGTTGCTAAGGCTTCTGGAAAATCTTCACATTTATAAAATCATTAGAGTTTTTTAATTAGAAAGCACTTGTAGAACAGTGCTATGGAGTGAGTATATAATTTTTTCGGGAGTTGCAATAGATAGTAATAGTAATAGGAGTATGATAAAGAACAAATTCGTTGTATTTAAATGATTTTTTTACAAAATGGTATTTTTATAGCCATTAAATCCTTCCATGGCTCTAAATTATAACGTGTATATTAACTTTTATGAAAATGTGGTACCTATATCTTTGAAAATGGAAGAAGAGCAGTGCTTTGAAAACGGTATTAATATTAGTATTAGTCACATAAATTTCGGAAATTCTGATAATTTTAATATTGTTTAATTTAGTTTTTTTTATGAACTTTTCCTAATTAAACTTTATATTTTATTGTATATACTAATTAGGAAAAGTTCACAAAAAATAGGTGGTTTTGGGAAGGGATCAATGAAATTTCAAAAAATTTCAATTTAAAATAAAATATATATATATAATTTTTTTTATTTTTCACTAAATATTGTTACCAGGATCAGATGATGACAATGATAATTTGGCCGAATCCTTTAATTTTGGGTCAAATTAAATTTTATTTCTATTTTTATTTTTATTTTTATTTTATTT